ATTCGTGCACACATGCCTGGGCGTTGAGTTCGGGCAGCTCTTTTCTGCCCAAGCTGTGGTGGCTGAACTGTCAGATTTTCCAGGCAGCAAGTGTCCCCAAAGCCACCTCTGACTTTACATCCTATTCGGGCTGCAAGCATTGCAGTCACGGCTCCTAGGAGTCATTTCCTGGTGAGGACTGGTCCCGTGGGATAGTCACAGAGCAGAGTTGGTTATTTGCTGTGGCTACAGAGCTGACTAGGAATGGGGGGCTCCTTGGGCCTGGCCGAAGTTGCGTCCTAGCAACTGAAAGTTAGCTCAGGTCGCCTGTGGCCTTCCCTGTTGGGTATGGAGTCTTCAGTGGCTCTTGACTTTTTCTCCCTCCTCCCAAAGACAGAAAAGCAGGGTGGGGGTGAGCCAACGGTGCAGAGTGGGGAGCTGTTTCCTTTCTACCTTCCAGTTTAGCCTCCTGCTTCAAATCCTGCCCAAACCCCAACTTTAGCCAAAGGCCATTTCGCAAGTAAACATTTCTCACGTAAAATGAGGGCAGAAACCCTGGACCCCGACATTTTGGTCCCCTGGCTGTTGCCTATTCTTACTAGCTCCGGGATCTTATGACTGCCGTCTGCAGCCTTATTTTGAACATAAAGTCTGGTGTTGCCATAAATGTCACCTGCAATCCTGTCTCATTGGTTTACTGACACCGAGACTCGGAGCTCGACAGCCACACAAAGGAGATACCGCAGAGTCCCTGGCACGTGTGAGGACAGGGCTACAATGGAGTCTCATTAGTATAAAGCTAGATCAGTCCAAGTCACCAACTAGAACATCAATTCCCTATTGGAGTGTGCCTCAGGGCAGGAAGTGACCTCAGAGGCCCCCCACCAACCCCTGACCCGTGAATCCTTTCCCCTCAGCCCTTAGATGCCCATGAAATGAAGTCCTGCTGCCCATTCTCGCTGTTAGTAGTCCTGGTGGTGAGTTAGGACGAAAAGTTCCTGAGGAAAGAAAGAAAGGTCCAATCCACCCTCCCCTTACTGGGACTGAGGTGACTGACTCTCCATCACTCACCGAGGCATCCTGGGGAGCGGTCCTGGTACGCAGCTCTCTCTCCTCAGCCATGGGTGCCCCTTTGCTGCAGCTTCCTTTGGACCTTAGCTGCTGCCAGCCAGTGTCAACGTTTTTTTTTCCTTCCCAGAGCTGAGCAACCTCTGGTCCTTGTTCAATGACCCACCATCTGTCTCCCAGCATTCCTCTCTGGCAAGCCTTCCCACAAACACAGACTGTGTGTTCTGCCCACTGCCAAGATAATACACACATTCTGGCTAAAGGTACATCAGATACTGGCGTCTGAGACCAAACCCCACGCTGCCTAAGGAGGGACTCCAGAGCATCCTGCTGCTGGCTCCTCAGCTGAGGCCACTCCAGGAAGGGTCAGGCCACCAGAAAATTTGCCTATCTTTGCTGCCTGCTGGCCATGAGTGAACTCTCAGCTTGGACACCCGGGGAGTCCTCAGGACTCCAAATAAACAGAGGCTCCCAGTGCTCGCCAGAGGAGGTTCCTACAGCTGCTTCAAAGCCTGGGCACAGCCTGGGCGTTCTCCATGCCTCCTACAGTGTCAGGTAAATCGATGCCCCTTCCACCTGCAGGGAGCTTGGTGCTGTGGTCAGGGTCGGGCATGGCCTGAGTTGACTGGGTCTCTCACTCCCTCTGCTGGCTTTCCTTAATAATGGGGAGCATGTATGGAGGCTTTCAGTGGGTAGAGGTGGAGAGAGGAAGGGGAAGGGCTGCCAGTGGGAAACGAAGAGCAATGGTGAACGGACCCTCCTCCTGCCCATGGCAGGACCTGGAAGCTCTGCCAGACATGGCAGCTATGCCCTGCCTTGTGCTCCTGTGCCCCTTGCCCCTTCCTGTTTCGTCCCCTGTGTATAGTCTGCTTTATATGGATGGAGAGGGCTTAAAGAACGGGGGTGCTTACAGCATGAGGTGTAATGAAGCCCGGCGAAGGAATGCAGGATCAACTCAAGGAATAAGCACTGTCCTGTGTGTGTCTCCCAGCCAGCCAAAGAGCTGGCATCAGCACAGCTGCCAGGCGGGTGCTCTACATAGGTGACCTTCTTCAGTCGTTATCCGCCAGGGTCTACGGAGGAGGACACTAAAACACACTTAGGAACCTATCCAGACAACCGAGGGGTGACCTTCTTCAGTCGTTATCCGCCAGAGTCTACGGAGGAGGACACTGAAGCTAAAACACACTTAGGAACCTATCCAGACAACCGAGGTCAGCACGGGGCCCCTTCCAAGACCCCACGCTGACTTTCCCCTCTTGGGGTTTCCTTGAAAGCCATCGCGTTGGGTCCTGGTGGAACATCGCATCTCGCTGGCACCAGTGGAACAGGCAGATCCTCAAAGATGTCTCCTTGTACGTCGAGAGTGGGCAGATCATGTGCATCTTAGGGAGTTCAGGTAAGCTTGGGACGGAGTACTCTAATTCTCAACGAGGATTCAGAAAAGGCTTTTGCTTGATTTGAACACCACACCGAGGAAACAGGTTTAAGTTGTAGCAAGAAGGCCACAGGTTTGATACTAGAATGAAATCTAATGACATGTCTGACTGCGAATGGAACCTGGTACTAATAAGAAATCTTTAGAGAGATCCTTGAAAGAGAATAAAGTCCCGACTAACATTTAAGTTAATTCATATTTCAAAGTATGGAAAGCACCTAGCAAAGAGCCTGTCATAGTAAACAGAATTTCCCTTATCTGTACTTTACCTAGAGACATGAAAAGGAATTAAATGAGCTCAAAGATGCCCATTTATCCCCCATTTTCATTGGTCTCTTTTTTTTTATCATGATGTATTTCAAATATATAGGCAAGAATAGAGAATAAAATAAAGACTGTTCATGTATCAACATCTGACTTCATACATCTTAACATTATACCATATAGCAGACCTTTTTTTTTTAAGGAATTAAATATTATAGATTCCACTGAGGCTCTCTGTGTGCCCATTCCTCACCTCACCCTTCTCCTCCTCTTTCTCTGAGTAACTACACTTGAGCCTGAATTGATCTGTCTTTGTGTCCCTGCATCACTGAAGGTGTAGCCTGCAGTGAGGTAGCTGCTTGTGGCTGAGGGCAATGCCCGTAAGGTTCACGGCCGTGAATCCTCGGCAGGTGGGGGATGGGTGCATTGGCCCTGGCAGCGGATCTGTGTGCCAGGTCACAGCGTCCTCCACACTAGGTTATCTTGCACATTTTAAGGTTGAAAGATTATGACAAATCGGCTTCACAGGAGCCTGTTGATTGAGTTCTTGCTTGCAAATTGTTGACGTGCACTGCCGCTGTCCACTTGCATTACCTTTTTCGATAGAGATGGGTACTGTAAGCCTGCGACGAAAGTTAAGCGTGATCGGCCTCTTTCCACCCTGGGAGTTGAACCCACAGCCACTCTCCTGCTACAGCAGGTGGACAACTGGATGGCAAGAGTGGTGTTAAGATTAAAAGAAAATGACTAAAACTGTTACATTGTCCTGTGATCTCCTGTCGGTTCCTATTTCCAATTTTTAACCATTTCTAACTAATGCATTTACTGTAACAGCCAGGGTCATTCTAATTTTCCTTTTTATAATTATAACATACTTCTTACAAAAGAACAAAAGATGGGTAATTCCTATAATAATTTATTACTTGTTGCCTTCCTTGTGTAAGATTAAAAAGAATGGCATGTAGCACATGATGAGGAATTGAACCCGCCTTCTCAGAAGTGTGTCCCACAGGCCAATGTCATGCTTCATGCATGTCTCAGCAGGACATTGGGTGTGGATCCTTGATTTGGGGGCACATGGGCTAGATTCTGATGATGCCTAATCATGGTTTTATGACAATGTCTATCCTTTGATACTGAACATGAATTTACAGTAGACTGCAAATTCCACCAGAGTGAAAGTTTTGTCTTTTTTTTCCTTCTGTATCCTCAACAACTAGAACAGCGCTGGCTGGCCGCATAATAGGTGCTTAATAAGTATTTGTTGAATCAATGAGTAAGCAAATGAATAAATTATATAAATTACTCAGTGTTTCATAAAATGACATGATTTCATTAGTGTCTTATCTAAAGCAGCATTGTTTATCAAATCTTTATTCGTGAAGCAAAAGATGACTTAGATGCTCAAAGTTTCACTAGAGAATGGTCGAATGCAATCTTGCCTAGGGTCACCCAACTCTCCAAGAACAGGTAACCTTATTTGACTCATTATTTGCTATCAATTAGGAACTAGACTCTGGGCAACATGTTCCCTTGCAGAAGACTATTTAGGAACAAACAATTTCTGTCCCTTTAGGAGAGATAACCCCAAAGGTCATGGGGTTATTGCCCTGTAAAGCATTAACCTTCTTTTTTATTGTAGTAAAATACAGATAATATAAAATTTACCATCTTAACCATTTATAAGCACACAGTTCAGTGGTATTAAATACATTCACATCGTTGTGCTACTATTACCACCATGCATCCCCCCACAACTCTTTTCATCTTGTAAAGCTGAAACTCTGTACCTGTTAACGATAACCCCCCTTTTTTCCCTTCCCTCAGCCCTGACAACCACCATTACACTTTCCATCTTTATGATTAAGACTACTCTACCTCATGTAAGTGAAATCATATAGTATTTGTCTTTTCGCGACTGCTTTCTTTCACTCACGTAAGGTCCTCCAGGTTCATCCATGTTGTAGCATATTGCAGAATTGCCTTCCTTTTTAAGGCTAAATTCCATTGCATATAGATACCTTACTTTACTTATCCATTCATCCATTAATGGAAGCAATGTGGGTTGCTTCCACGTTGTAGCTATTGTGAATAATACTGCTATAAACAAGGGTGTACAAATATCATGGTCATTCTATTTTTAATTTTTTGAGGAACCACCATACTGTTTTTGACAGCAGCTGCACCATTATATATTCCCATAAATGGTGCACAAGAGTTCCAATTTCTCCCCATTTTCACCAATATTGTTTTGTTTGTTTGTTTTTATAGTATCCATCCTATGGGCATGGGATGGTATCTCATTGTAGTTTTGATTTGCATTTCCCTAATGGTTAGTGATATTGAGCATCTTTTCATGTGCTTATTGGCCATTCATATATCTTTTTTAAAGAAATGTCTATTCAAGTCCTTCACCCAATCTTGAATCAGGTTTTTTTGTTGTTGTTGTTGAGTTTTAGACATTCTCTATATATCCTAGATATTAATCCCTTATCAGATATATGGCTTGTAATATTTTCTCCCATTATGTGGGTTGCTTTTTTACACTAAGGATAGTCTTTTGATGCATAAAAATTTTAAATTTTCATGAAGTCCAATTTGTCTATTTTTTCTTTTTTTACCTGATCTTTGGTGTCATTTCCTAGGGCATTAACCAATTTTGTGTCTAACTTTGCAATTTATTCTAACCTTCTATTCTCCACTGACTATACATAGCATATATGAATGCGCTTTCTCATCCTACTGTACCTTCATTAATGAGTTAATAAATATTTGACACATATTCAGAAAAACTATCAGTTATCTATTTCCATGTAAGAAAAGGATCCCCAAACTAAGTGGCTTAAAATAATAAAAATGATTTATTATAATTTATTATAAAAATGATAACAAATCATTTTTATTATTTATTATCCCTCAGGGTTTCTATGAGATAGAAATTTGGAAATACTTAGGAAGTTCTGTAAGAGGTCTTATGTGGTTGTAGTTAGAAGCCAGCTGGGGCTGCGGTCATCTGAAGCCTTGGGCAGGACTGGAGACTCCACTTGCAAGGTGGCTCCCTTATATGCTGGCAAGCAAGCTGTTTTTACTGTTGCTCAGTGAGAATGTGTGATATGAGAACAGGAAGCTCATAAGAGAACCCTGAGCATCACCCATAGGAGACTGAGAGGGAGCCAGCCAAACCAGCAGGATTAAATCAAGAGGATGAAGTGGCACCAAAAAAAAATTTACAGAGAAGAGCAGGTAACACCGCCGAATGCTTCTGAGAGGTCAAATGACATACAGGGAAATAACCACTCTATTTGGCGATAAGTAAGTAGCCTTGATGATCTTAGGGAGGCCAGTTTTGATGTAGTGATGGGACTGGAATCCAGGCTTCAGGATACTTAGAACTTCTGTCAGAGCTGAGATTGGATCCCAGAAATGTGAGGCCAAGAGGCTTCTAGTTAGAGAACCACATACAAGACCTAGTGTCAGGAATAGGAAATTTCAGGGCACATTTTGAGAGACAACCCCAATGAAGTCACATTTTGTTTCTTTACAATCACTCTCCTTTTCCCCTCAGGTGGACCTCTACCTGAATGCATTGGGGTTAACTCTGAGCTTTGTCACTGTTCCGGGAGCATGGCTTTTTCATCTCTGTACTCCTCATAGCAACAAGTAGTTTCTTTAAAATACTGGAACAAAAGATCTCTTTGTTTTGCACAAGTCATCGTATCCTCAGTAGAACTCTCTTGCTACCTTTTCAGACAGTTCGGAACCTCCTGCCTATTTTCTCTGTCATTAATTCTAACTTCTTAGCAGCCTTTGATGGAAAGACCTGGTGAGGCCTGTTCCTGTCTTCATTACCTTCTGGGCCTGTGTAAGCTTGAGTCCAATATGAATGTGGAGGGGGCTCGCTGGTGTCTGATCTTAAAGGCATCACCTAACCTCTAACCCTGGAAGAAGCAAACCAGGGGAAACGTCAACGTCTAGTCACCTCAGCACCAGGCAGTTAGCTCATCACAACTCCTCTGTGGGAAAGTTCTTAGCAATGACCAGGTGGGTTATGCCGGCTGAGGCCAACAGGATTTTACCAAAATACTCACCAAGCTTGTGCCTTTTAAGCTCTAATATGTGTGGGAATTACCCAGGGATCGTGTTAAAAAGCAGATTCTGATTTAGTAGCTGTGGGCCTTTTGCACTTCCAACAAGTTCTCAGGTGATGCTGATGCTGCTGGTTTCCAGACCACACTTGATTGGCAAGGCTCCAGGCCAGCGCTTCTCAACTTTTTTGGCACCAGGAACCGGTGCTCCTATGGGAATCTAATGCCTGATGATCTGAAGTGGAGCTGAGGTGGTGATGCTAGTGCTGGGGCGCAGCTGCAAACGCAGATGAAGTTCTGCTCACTGACCTGCCACTCACCTCCTACTATGCAGCCTAGTTCCTAACAGGCCAAAGGCTGGTACTGGTCTGAGGCCCAGGGGCTGGGGACCTCTGCTCTAGGTAGTGCCCCTACTTACAGGAACCACCAGACTACCCCAGAAGGCTACAAAAATAAATTCAGATGTCCTAGGATCAAACATTTCCAAGAGCTTGGTTTTTCCTTTTATTCTGATCCCGTATTTTCTTTTTCAACTTAAAACAGCTTTAAAAGCAAATAAACAGGCAGGCAAAGAGCTTCCAGTCCTGACCCAGATGAGAGGAATGGGTTGTCCCTCCTCTCACTAAGGATAAGCAGGAAAGACTCATTCATGTCATGACAATTTGAGCCACATGGCTAACGAGAGAACAACTCGGGGTTAGACTGAGGACCCACCCAGGGTCTGGGGAAGTTCTTGTGATGCCCCCTGGTAGGGCTCCTCCAGGGCCTTCTCCTCTCACCCCCACCAGGCTCGGGGAAAACCACGCTGCTGGACGCCATGTCGGGGAGGCTGTGGCGCATGGGAACGCTGCTCGGGGACGTGTGTGTGAACGGCCAGGCGCTGCGTAGGGACCAGTTCCAGGACTGCTTCTCCTACGTCCTACAGGTGGGCACATCTCCGGCCCCAGCCTCTACAGCCGGGGTCTGGGGAGACGCTGACGCCTCCCTCTCCCTCAGAGCGACACTCTCCTGAGCAGCCTCACCGTGCGCGAGACGCTCCGCTATACAGCGCTGCTGGCCATCCGTGGCGGCTCCCCCAGCTACATCCAGAAGAAGGTGGGTGCGGCCTGTCCTCACAGCGGCCGTGGGCTTCTGTCCAGGCTTCCCCTGGCCCCCCGAGCAGGGTCACGCAGGGATCACTCCCGCGCCCAGGGGCTTCGCGTTCCCTCCACTTGCCCGTTCCTCCCCTTGATGCTTCACGCTTTTATTGTCTTAGACCTGCACTGTCTGGTGTGGCTGCCACTAGTCAGTCACATGTGGCTTTGAGCATTTGAAATGTGACTAGTTTTCATTGAGATGTGCCCTGAGTGTAAAATACATACCAAATTTTAGAAATTTCGTCTTAAAACACAGAATGTGAAATATCTCAATAATTTAAAAAATATTAATTATAGGTTGAAACGGTAATATTTTGGCTGCATTGAGTTGTTATATTATGAAAATTAATTTCACCTGTTCCTTTTCACTTTCTACAATGTAGCTAGTAAGATGTTTAAATTCTGTGGTCTGTGTGTGGCTTGCACTGTATTTCTATTGGATGGTGCCGTCTTAGGAGCTCAGTATTTCTTCAGATATGGTTACTTTCCCCATTGTGCTTTGCCCTGCAGCCCTGTTGAGACTTTTCTCAACTTTCTTTGAGGCATATTGAATGTGCGTCGGTCAAACTGGATTAAGGTAATAAAGTAACTATTGAATTGTCACCTCTTTCTACATTCCGATCTGTTTCTTTCAATGTACCCAATTTGGAAGTAGCCACAGGTAAACATACAGGGATCTTACCTGGAAACATTGCCTTGTTTCTGTTTGGACTGTGAAGTGCCTGGACTGAGAATGCACAGAGGACTGAAGACAGGGAGATGTGCCACACAAAACATGCACAATTCCCCAGGAAGTGGGCTCTCAGAGCTGCCAGAGGAGACAAGTGACATCTGTCTCACAGGCTTCAGCACCTTGAGGCCTCAGTGAGGTTCCTCCTGGGCACGCAAATTACATCGACAATTCAGGCTCCAAGTCTGGCCTTTGAAAAATGCCATCGAGGCTCCCAGGGAATCCTTCATCTCATCTGAGGGTGCAGGTTACCCTATTTTTATCAAGCACTATTGAGCTTGTCCCTGGGGAGATGCTCATCTTGTTCCCTCACTGAACTCTCAGATGGGGCTTGGAGAATGGAACTAAGTCTATTTGAATTTTAGACAATTCTGGAGTATAGTTTTCACCCCAGAGGCACCTTAGCAAGGCTCCAAGAAGGACCATCAACCCTGTAATGGAGGCATTATCTCCTGACACCCAAGGACATTCAGATCAGACAACTGGAAATTGCAAAGCTGAGAAATGAACTCAGGCCCTCTAGCTCCATCATGCCTCCCTGAGCTATACTGTGGTCTGTGAAGACACAGGTCAGAGTTCAGCCCACAGGCATGTTCACATGATTCAATGACCCTGATAGTGAGTGAGGGGCGAGCTCCTCTGCAGCCTTTCTCTCTGTTTGCTTTAGTATTTCTCTCTCTAAAAGGGGTAGGAGAAGATCACATTGCTTTTTGGATGGGAGAAATATAGTCATAGACAAATTCTTCTGAATGACGTATTATGTCACATACCCCATTGAGAGAACCTGAAAAAGTTACTGAGCCCCTTTCCCCAGAAAATGCACATATTTGCATAAATATTCAGAAAAATCGTGGATATCTTGAAATCAATGGCAAATTTGTTCCCCTGGTGAGTGGTCCCTCTCCCTGACACTGGCAGCTCCTAAATGTCCTGCAAAAATTCTGCCTGCTTGAGAGTACTTTCTTAGTAAATCCAGTTCACAGGGTATATAAAATCCTGCAAAGAAATTTAGTGAGAAGGAAGTGCTGGTGATAACTGAGGCTGAGCACAGCAGATCTGCTTCTGTCTCCTAAGGAACCTGAACAGGCTGTGGTTGACATGGAAAAGCTGTGTCTATTGGGCTGTTGCTAAACTTCTTGCTTCATGGACCACTTGAAAGAACACAGGCAATCCTACTCTCAATCCCAGCTCTGCCATTTGCAATTGGCATGACTTGGGGAAGTTACAGAGCTCTCTGAGGGTCTTTTTTCTCCTATAATAATGCATCTCTCCTGGAGTGGTGAGAAATAAATCAGTTTATGAGAGGACTCATGGCATAGAGAAAGTTGATGATCCCAGTGGATCCCAATGGTCCCAATGGTACCTTCTAAGACTGAATTCCTTTCCCAATAGTGTCTGCAAAACATGGGAGAGGCTTCTTGCCGGAGTGAGAGACATCTGAAACAGATGATGTAAATGTCTTCTTGGCCCTTCTGAGCCAGGAGGGGCAAGCTTTACTCCTTACTTGCTGTTGCAGAGCAGATGAAAGAGATGCTCAGGAAATCTGTCCTGGCTGATGAGTTCATAAACCGGCCAGGTCAAGAGAGCTCAAATCTAGGATCCCTCCACTCTGATGGCAAGAGGAGACCCTCTTGTTCCCCCCAGAACAAATCATATGGTTTATTTATGTATGTTTAATCTTCTCATTATGTCTTTGTATCTATTTCAGATGTTTCTGTTTTGGTCAAAGTTTCATCTATGCCGTTGATCTACCCCCGTGTTGTAGAACCTTATTTCATAAAACATCCCTCTTTTACTCTAATCTAATCTGTTGTTGTTATTTTTTTAATGCAGTATATTGGTTTCTTTTTATTATAAAAGTAACACAATCTCATTAGAGGTGTATGGGAACACAACTCATTAACATATGTATGACTATTCTCAGTCCCTCTCTATCTGCTTTCCCCCAGGGCTTTCTGCAGATAAGAGGTAATCAGTAAGGCAGGGGCTAGAAATAGAGATCTTTGAAGAGTCTCTGGAGAGGGGATAAGCTGAGGAAGGAAAGAAGGAGGAGGAGGAAAGAGACCAACCCTCTTGATTAGAGAGTCGGTAAAGAATTTTTTTCGTCGTTGTTGTGGGCGAGTTGAGAATGAGGAGTAAGGAAAGGTTTCAGGGAGCTGCAGTGTGTCAGATAAGTAGAATGAGGAGAATTGGGGAGAAGAAATTTTAAGAAGTGTGGCTGTTATAAACTGGGCCCCCTTTAAAGTCCTTAAAGAGATTCAAGTAAAGATTGGCCTTTTTTAAAATTACTTTTGATAGCTGGATTATATTTCTTTGATGCAAAACCACATTGAGATTGGACCACAGGAGACAGAACAGGACTTACTTGGGCTATATAAGGGAAATCAGGTTTATTTCTAACCAAACTGGATTTTTTAACATATAAAACATTCATTTTAATAAAGTTTCAAAAACCAAACATTAGAAAAAACAAGCTAAATTGTAACTCTGCTTTTTTTTCTACCCAAAAAGAGGCAAGGGGGATTTTTCTGTATGGGCGGGACCGTCTGCAGCGTCTGAAAACAGGAGTCCAGTGGAGTTTCCATTGTTTCCTGAAGCAAAACCAAGCAGTTTTGTTGCTCTGAGGACCTTTTAAAATAGTTCATGTTATTTGTTTTAATCGGCCCCATGAATTATGTTGTGCTTTGAAACGAGTTGGATTTTACTGGAACAGGCGTGCTTTCCCCAGGGTGCAGTGTGTCTGAACATGGCCCAGCACCTGGGGGAAGTGTGCTGCCCGTCCTCCGTCATCCTCAGGCCGTGAATCAGCTGCCCGGCAGTGACCAGTCTTCCTGGGCTTCGTGTCTCCTGCAGGTGGAGGCGGTCATGGCAGAGCTGAGTCTGAGCCACGTGGCAGACCGACTGATCGGCAACTACCACTTTGGGGGACTTTCCAACGGCGAGCGGCGCCGGGTCTCCATCGCAGCCCAGCTCCTCCGGGATCCCTGTAAGTGGGACCCATACCTGCCCCTAGTGGCTGCCTGGGCATCTCCCATGTGTCTGCAGATGCATTAGGCCTTTTCTTCACAGTCTCCATTCAAAAAGGGGTTTGTTTGGAACTGAAGTCACTGAGGACTTTCAAACTGAGGACCCGCTTGTTTTAGAAATACTACATAGTTTCTGTTGCTCTTCTGTCATCCAAATATGAAACAGCTCTTGGTCTTGAAAGCACTGCACTTAATGTTCAATTAGAGTCTTTCATGAATATGGGATCCTGCCCTGTCCATCCTTACTTCTTACTAGAGCAATACTGTTGTGTTGCTATGGAAAGCCAGTGAGCTTTGGTGTGACTAGAAGTATTTATGAATGGAAGCCATTAAAGGAGGACTTAAAAGTGTATATTTTGAGGGGGAGGGTTATCGAGATGGATAGCTTGCCACCTGGCTCCCTTGCTTGGTTTGATCATTCTCCCCATCGCCTGGGGAAACCTCACCACTTACTAGAGCAATACCGCTGTGTTGCTATGGAAAGCCAGTGAGCTTTGGTGTGACTAGAAGTATTTATGAATGGAAGCCATTAAAGGAGGACTTAAAAGTGTATATTTTGAGGGGAAGGGTTATCAAGATGGATAGCTTGCCACCTGGCTCCCTTGCCTGGTTTGATCATTCTCCCCATCGCCTGGGGAAACCTCACCACTATGTGTACCTGGAAGAGAACATATTGTGTCTGGACAGTTTCTTTACACTGGGAGACACCAAGACTTCCTGCTCTCCAGATGGAGCTTGGGCAAATAAGAAGGTAAATAAGAGAGGTGTTCTTAAGTGCCCTTGCCACTTTTTGGGTAGAAATAAGCTACAGTTAAACCCTCTAAAGCAGGGGTCCCCAACCTCTGGGCTATATCAGCCCATGGCCTGTTAGGAACTGGGCTGCACAGCAGGAGGTGAGAGGCGGGCCAGCGAGTGAAGCTTCATCTATATTTGCAGCTGCTTCCCAGCGCTAGCATCACTGCCTCAGCTCCACCTCAAATAATCAGGCATTAGAATCTCATAGGAGCACTGGTCCCTGGTGCCAAAAAGGTTGGGGACCACTGCTTTAAAGAACTCAAACACCTGCCCACCTCGGACCTTGTTTCATGGGTCTGAGTGTTTTGCACTGCAAAGACCCTGTTAGTGCTGTGGCCATGAAAGGGGTTGTGTCTTTTTAACCAGCCTCCTCTCAGCCTTTTAAAGACAACCTAATGCTCACCCGCCAGCCCTTGTTTCCCCAGGGTCCTCTGGACTGAGCCCAAACAGTCCACAGTACCTTGTGAGAGGCCTGATCTGGCTGCTGCCCTGTTCCCTCAAGGATTAAGCCTGAAATGTGCTCCAGAGGTGGGCGTTGGGTCCTCCTGGGTCAGGTTCTTTCTCCTGAGCTTGGGCTGGAAGACAGTTTACACTCAGTGTGCACTGTCTGGATGGAGTAAAACGGCTCAAATTAGGAACTGTCAAAATTCTGAGTTTAGAGTGCTGAGCCCAGGCTCGGCAGAGACTGAAATCTGCCCTTCTTTGCTGGCAGCCATCATGCTGTTTGATGAGCCAACCACTGGCCTGGACTGCATGACAGCAAATCAGATCATTGTCCTCCTAGCAGAACTGGCTCGCAGGGACCGCATCGTGATCCTCACCATCCACCAGCCCCGCTCTGAGCTCTTCCAGGTGAGAGAGGACATCTCTTGTTCTTGCTCAACTTGTCAAGGGTGGTACGTATGTGTGTGTTGAGCTGAGGATCACGGGGTAGAGATTAGTACTCACCAACCAGAACAGTTGGAGCCCAAAGCTTCTGATATGAGAAGGGCAAAGGATGGACGCTCACTTTCTTCAGCACCTACCATTTACCATATACCTTCGTGCACTAGCTCATTTAATCTGCACAACTGTCCTGTCAGGTGGCTATCAGTATTTTCACTTTACACAGGAGAAGAGTGAGACTTAGAAATGATACAAAACTGATCCAAGATCATGCAGTTAATAAGAAGCTGGAATAGGCATTCACGGTCCAGTTGGCTTCAAAGGCTGTGTTTTTCCACTAAATCATATAAGTTTCCTTCCAAAAATCTCACTTGATCCTCCTAAGACCCTTTTAGGGAGCTATTATTTGCCTTTTTTAGATGAGGATTTGAGATTTAAAAAAAATATTTTGTCCAAAGTGACTCACTCAGTGGCATGGCTGGGACTTGAACCCAGGTCCATTGATCATGTCCAGTAGTTCTCTTCTATCTGAGATGTGATGCTGGGCACAGGCTGAATGCACAGTGGCAATCCAGGCTGAAAAGAATAGGGGTGCATTTTGAGTGCCCTTAGTGGATGCAGTAAAAATACTGACGTATGGCTGAGATCATCAAAGGACTGACGGCTTGAAAACTTTTTTCCGTGAGGATGTGGTGACTTGATTATATGCTAACACCGTCTATTGTCCAACTAGCTCTTTGACAAAATCGCCATTCTGAGCTACGGGGAGCTGGTTTTCTGCGGGACACCAGTGGAAATGCTTGATTTCTTCAATGGCTGTGGTTACCCTTGTCCAGAACATTCAAACCCTTTCGATTTTTATAGTAAGTTTTTGTTTCACGTTCCCCATCATAAATGTTTTTTAAATTTTATCATCTCAGATTTCTGCCTGGATGACACTAGCACTAGTGAGTTTTATTTTTGCTTTTGTTTTGGTTTGTTTACTCCTCAAGGAATTAATTTTGCTGGTCAATTCACTTGCCACAGATCACGTATAAGAATGAGGTGGGAGATCTCTCTTAAATTGGGGTCCTCCTACTTTGTCAGAGAAAAATTCAGTTAGCTGAGCTTCAGAATTCTCCCAGTCAGCTCCAGTGGGCTCCTCATGGCTCTGCTGGGAGCTTTAAAATTTTCTGATTTTATAGGTGAGCATTAACGACAGGTATTATTCTGAGAGGGGATGAGGTATTATGGCTAGTATTCCTAAATCAATGATGAAACATATATTATTAGCTATTGTGTATATATGTGCATTTAAAAACACATACATTATTTCTTTTGGGAAAAAATTTTAGTGGACCTGACCTCAGTGGATACCCAAAGCAAAGAACGGGAAATAGAAACCTACAGGAGAGTCCAGATGATTGAATCTGCCTACAAGAAATCAGCAATTTATCAAAAAATCTTGGAGAATATTGAAAGAACAAAACATCTGAAAACATTACCAATGGTTCCTTTCAAAACCAAAGATTCCCCTGGAGCTCTCTCTAAACTGTGTGTTCTCTTGAGGTAAGAGCCTCACCCCATTTTAGGTGCGTCGACATCCACCAATAAAAGAAAAGGAATCAAAACGGGTTTGTCTTTCAGGAGAGTGACAAGAAACTTAATGAGAAATAAGCTGGCTGTGATTATGCGTCTGGTTCAGAATCTGATCATGGGTTTGTTCGTCATTTTCTTCCTTCTTCGAGTCCAGAATGATGTGCTAAAGGGTGCTTACCAGGACCGCGTGGGTCTCCTGTACCAGTTTGTGGGTGCCATGCCATACACAGGCATGCTCAATGCAGTGAATCTGTGTAAGTGCCATGCACAGGCGGCGTGCCTTGGCGGCAGGGGCAGGTTGGGGGAGTGATCCTCTCTCCCTGAATATCTTCCTTCTCCAGTCACCACCTTGCAAGTATCCACAATTATCAGGGTGTTTCTCTGAATTCAACTCCATCTTCTCTCTCTGGGAAAGGTAACTACTGAGCTACTAATCCTTAGTGAATTAGTTCACAAGGTGGATCTCTCTGAGGGTCTCTAAGGATCCAAGGAAAATGAAGTTATGAGGTACTAATGGGCAGAGTTTGGAAAGTTTATCAAAAGACCATCTCTGGTATCCTATCCTGGCCGTTAGGATCCTCAGTCAATGGGGCCTGGATACCTGGCCAACTGTGTGCTGTTACATTCTTTTTGGAGCCTATTTTAGGATAGCCAGTACCTAATTTTCAAACTCAGTGGGAGTCCAGAAGCAATACCTAGTTGCCTGATGTTCTGTGCCAAGACCTTACACACAAAAAGACAAAGTGCTTCACATTACTCATTTGCGCCCCTTTTTTGCATGTGTGTCTTCTTGAATTGATGACACTCCTCCTTCCACCTTAGGGAGAAGGAAACAAATTTGCAACCATATCGTAATTCAGGTAGAGTATAGATTTCTAGGGTGGGGGATATTTATAGCTCTACGATGGCAGGTCCCCTCTTTGCATGATTTGGGAGCCCCAGCCAGTCCTTCTCATTCAGCCCTGACAGACCCCAAGTTCAGTTTGGATTAGCTCTCCCTCCCTCAGCTGTGTGGTGACTGACTGTTCTGAAACCTGCCTTTCTTGCCCAGTTCCTGTGCTGCGAGCTGTCAGTGACCAGGAGAGCCAGGATGGCCTGTACCAGAAGTGGCAGATGCTCTTGGCCTATGTGCTGCACGTCCTCCCCTTCAGCATCATTGCCACCATGATTTTCAGCAGTTTGTGTTACTGGTAAGGAGGTGTTCACTGGTGTTCAGTCCTTCTGGGCCAGGCCTCTCGTGGGGTCCCACATGGCCAGTGGGCCCTGTGGAGGGAGAGCTCCAGGGTAGAGAACCATGTAGTTCTTTGTACTTTTCCCCCAACAGCACTCCTGTTTAGCAGAAATATTAACATGCTTGCTTATGAGGTAGAGTCCTAGATTCGACTGAAGCAAGTATGGTAATATGCAGTGTAAAACCTTTCCAAAATCTGTAAATTGCCACATTCCAAAAACACATTGAACCCTAAAGTATTTCAGATAATGGATTGTGGACATAAACAAATCTCCAGATGACTTTAATTTAAGAAAGTGTAAGATTGGTATTATAAGGGGCATGAATACTATGCTAAGAAATATAGTAATAATAATAATTAACACATGTCGAACATTTGCTTTATGTCAGGCACCAAGAGCTTTAAATATATTAATTCATGTAAACCTTGCAACCATTCTATAAAGGTGATATTATAATTATCCTTGCTTGTAGGCAACGAAACTGAGGCACAGATGAAATAAGTGTCTTCCCCATCTCACGTCCATTATCCCAGTTAATTACAAAAGGAGAACAAGAGTCCATTGGTTGGGTGGGGAGAAGGACTTTTGGAGGCTTTATGGAGAACTTGAGAGACAGCAGCATTTCAACAGATGGATAAGGGAGCAAGGGCATTCCAAGGGAAGGAGGAGCAGGGGCATAGGTTCAGACGCAAAAACACACAAGACTTTTTCAGAGAAGAGGTTCAGTTGCACTGTGGAGGAAGTAGTGGAAAATATGGCTGCCAGCCTTGGAGTGTGGTAGGGGATGTGCTAAATGCCAGACCAAGGCGCTGAAGTGGATTCGATAATGGGACACAGAAGAGAATTTGGGACCCATCTGTGTTGGACTCTAGAGGGCGAGGTTGGCATCACTTTAGCAGCAAACTGGAGTTAGGGCAGAGACGCTGGAGAGGCAAGTGAGGAGTCTTGGCAACAGTCTATAGGAAAGGAAGAGGCCTTAATGAAGAGAGAAGCAGTGGCAACATAAAGGAGGAATCGCTTTGAGATCTGGAGAGAGTAGAACCAAATGGACTCAGAAACTGAATAGATTTGTTGGGGGTAAATACAGTCATGAACGATGCCTGGGTTTCCAGCCTGAGGAATGAGAAGGTGACAGCGTCTTTATCAAGTTTGTCTGGAAAGAGAATGGATTTGGTTTTGAACATGTTCCGTCTGGGATGCTATTGGACACCCAACTGGAGATGTCAATCTGAGGGTTGGGAGATAGGTTGGAGGAAAGAAAGAGTAAAGACCTAGTAATGAATCTTACAGGAGAGAGGGTCAAAAGGGGAGGAAGCCGTGAAGATAAAACCTTAAGTGGTGGGGAAGAGGAAAGTGATCCAATGACAGCGCAGAGGGGTGGTCAGAGAAGTAGAAGGAGAAGCAGGATCAGGCAGCACCAGAGAATCCAAGAGAGGAGAGAATATCAAGGAGGTGTAGTAAACCCATTCAGTATTGCAGAGGTTCAAGGAGGTGAGGTATAAGATTAAGAGTCACTGGTGATCTTCCGGAAAAGAGTAGAGTGGTGGAGGTACAAGTCAGGCTTACAAGGGGGCGGTATAGGGTAGGATGAAAGGGGGCAATTGCTTAAATGGTTATCAGGCTCAAAGAATGCTTGTTTTAGGAAACGGTAAATAAGATCGTCGGGGGGAAAAAAAAACACATTAGATTGAGATTAGATGATACTATAGCAAAACTGGATAATTCACAGATAGAGTTTACAGAGTAGATCAAGGAAAGGATAGGGGAATCAGGATAACATGGGACCAGGGATGCAAGTAGATAGGATCACGCTGGGCAAAGAGGGGGAGAGAGAGAGAGAGAAAGAGAGAGAGCGAGAATGAGTGCACATGTGCAAGACATGGAGGATGAAAGGTAGGGAAGATAAAGATAGCGAGAAATTCATCAAGTGGGAGGTGAACCATCTGCTGGGCACTGGGGAGAGAGTACGAAATTGGGCAGAGAGGGTAATTTAAAGTAGAGATTTAATGAGACATGCTATTGGGACCCAATAAGCAATGAGAAAAATTAGGGGTCTGGGGTCGGCTGAGGCAAAGTGGCAGAGGGGATCCAACTAGTACAGCAATATGCCTTGTTCAACACACTTTCAGTTGCTTAAGTTAGGGAGCAGGAGTCCGCAGGTGTGGGGATTGGTAAGGAAAGAATAGCAAAAGAGGGCAAAGGTCAGAGGCAGTGAAGGCTTGGAGAACTGAAAGACAGGAGGGAGGCCTTCATTAGAGAGGGCATTTTCAGAATCTGAAATCTTGGAAGTGGAACACTTTTGAGTAACATTTAAGTCCAAGACGCAGTGAGTGATCAAGTTTAGGTGGAGGGAGCCACTGGCATTGATCAGGTTACCTGACCAATCAGGAGGCATTGATGTTGATGGTTCATCAATCAAGAAGGTTAAAGACCTTGGAGATAAGGATGGTGGACAGGGATGGAAAGAATGACCCTGGTTCAGATGCTATGAAATCATCAAATTTTCTCTCGAAAATCTTAAAAGTCACAGTGGATTCCACTGGGGAAGAGAATTAATAGTATAAGCAAACTTCATGATTTGTGTGAGAGGAAAGGCAGATGGTCTTGCAGAGTGGTAGGAACAGGTGGATATTAGACATGCCAACTCCTTTTCCTTACTCTACAAATGAAAAAAAGAGCAGCCATGTCTAATGGTTGTTGAGGACATGCTATGACTAGGGAAATGTTATTTGGTGTTGGTAGAATAAAAGACAAGAATGGAATGAAGTAGGCTTGGGGAGGGCTAATCAGATAGAAGATGAAAGCAGTGAAGGGTGTTCACACTGTCAATAACCCCATATAACAGTGATGAGGTTCAGGGAGGGAGGGGCTGAGAGGCAGACTGGGAGAGCTCTTAGCATTAGGATGGTAGGTTAGCTCTGGTAGGAGCAGTGCTAGCTCGGCAGAATTGTGGTTATTTATGGAGAAGCCTGGAGAGTTCAACAACCTTACTTATTGCAGTTAATTGTGACCACTGTCTAAGTGTTAATATTTTCCTATGAGAGCTGAAGGAGATGAAAAAGGGCAAAGGTGGCTCACATTGAGTTGGAGCCAACAGAAACCATTTGTGGTAATAAACGGTCTCAAATGTTGGCTCTTCTCAAAAGGCCTTTCAAATGGGAGTTTGACTTGCTCTGCAAACTCTTCCCCCAACAAATCACCACAGACTCATTCATAAAAGGCAAAAGTGGTATCTTTTCTTAAAAGATAACCCTTAGAAACAAAAGACCTTGTGTTTTTTTAGGACTCTGGGCTTAAACCCTGAGGTTGCCAGGTTTGGATATTTCTCTGCTGCTCTCTTGGCCCCCCACTTAATTGGTGAATTTCTAACTCTCGTGCTACTTGGAATGGTCCAAAACCCTAATGTGGTCAACAGTATCGTGGCTCTACTCTGCATTGCTGGGGTGCTTGTGGGATCTGGGTTCCTAAGGTAAGTGTGACGAGTCAAAGGAGTTAAATTGGTATGATTTGTTGTTAATGATCATCTGATAATGATTATTATTAAGGAATTCTACAGGAGAGCTATGTGATACTGGTCAAAGGTATCACCTTATAGTCTGGAGTATTTACAGTGCTTACTAATCGTTATTGCTTAGACCTTACTTAAACTGTCTGCCATCTGCTCAATAAAATGACTTTACATAGAGAATCAGGACATGTTATCAATATGATTTACATGTAATAATCCATTATAACAACAGGAGGAAAACCCATCCATTCTCCAGAAAAACTCACAGCCTATATTACAAGTTAAATAGCATATATTTAGTTCATTTCTGCTCCTGCACTGTTGAGTCTCTATTCCAGTTCTTTCTAAAAGTAAATTCCCAGTTACTTTTAGGAAGTAAGAATAGTCAGATAAGAAAAGAGCCTCCAAGATAAAAGACTGCTCACGAAAGTATCAGGACTAAAAGAATGCACTCCAAATGTTAACAGTAATTATCTCAACAGTAATTAGCTCTGGGTGATATATATTTAGTTTTGTTCTTCATATTTTCCTATATTTTGTCGATTTTCTATAATGGACAAGCATTGTTTTATAACCAAGAAAAAGATATATAAATAAGTAAAAAGTAGTATATATAACATGACATTTTATATTAAAAGTAATATAAATAATATCAAATAGCATAAATAAAAAATATGGAAATATATAAAAGTAGTAGCAGGAAGGGTAAAAGTGACCCCAGGCAAGTGATGTAGATGGGATCAAATATGTAAATTACGGGTCCCTGAGGAAATGCGAAGAAGGTTCTGTTTCTTTCACTTAAAAAATCAAAGAAAAAAGCTATTGAGTATCTATCATATGTAATTATATTTATATGTTTAATTATTGCTCTCAAAGCAATCCATGTTCAGGTAAGAAACTAAGCTCAGACTTCATTGAGCTCCAGTCACACCACTGTGAAGATTGTCCTAGGATGCACATGGCTCCCTGGAGAGAGGACTGAACCTGGAGTCAGAGACTTCCTGTACCACTTAGCTGCCCTGTGACCATGGGCAAGTCACTTTTGTATCTAAATTAGTTTCCTCATTTACCAGAGATCATTATCTTGGCCCAAGCTGCCTCAAGGGATCATGAGAAGCAATGAGATAATCAATGTGAAAATACTTCATAAGTTGTAGTGAGTTATACAAAGGCGATATATTAAGTTTAAGTATACATGCTTTTTTTTTTTTTCCATTTAGCAATATAATATGGACAGTCCCATGTCAATAAATTTAATCATTGGTTCCTCCCTCTTGGTGTACTTTTGTACACCAAGGATTTCCATGACATAGCTGGTTCTCTTCCTGTGTCTCACTGACCGGTTTGTCTCCCTTTGCCACCTACACAAAGGCCGCCCACCATTCCCCCGTGGCTAGATGAGCTCTCCTTTTGTTTCCCCATTTTTTCTCATAGCCCATCATGTGATTCTCTTTTTAACATTGTCATCCTCTTAAAGGCTGCAGCTCTGTCTCATTCATCATTATAGTTCTCAGTGGCCACCCCAAGGCCTTGAACCAATTTAATTAGGTTTTCAAATTGAATGAGTGAATAAATGAATGACTGCTCTCTCTACCTCGAATGCCCACACACTGGATCAGTCATCAGATCATGCTGGTTTTCTTCTCTGATGTCAAACCACAAATACACGTGGAGCTTTGACTTTGTGTTTCGCCTTGTGTGGTACAGTACAAGATGAAGGCACACAGTTCCCACCTCAGGGAGGTAACACTCTAGCCTGCTGGGCAGCCATCCTCAATAGGCCATCATCCTATTCCAGGCCTCTGTTATCTCAAACTTGAACTGCTGTAGCTTGTTCCCCTTTTTGCTGTTCCTAATCTACCCTTATTCCAGTCCATCCTACTTGCTGATGCCATATTTTCTTAAAAAACTGATTTCAACATGATTTCTCTCATGATCCTTCAATGTCAATCCAGTGCAACACCCTGAAATGGCTGGTTCTTGGCTATCATTCCAAACTCACCTCCCATTGCTCCCACTTCAAATCCTCTGCTTCAGCCTTTCTAAGTCCATTCGGTCCCATATCCAGCCCTTGACATGCCTGTGTTCATAACCATTCTGCCTTCCTAGAGTGTCCTTCCTCTTCCCCTACTTTCTCCCCAGATTCCTACCTATCTTTTCTAATTAGTGGCCTCTCAATATGACTAATTCAATTTCATGCCTTAGAAAATTGCCAAGAACTACAAGTCATGAAGTTTGGGGGGTCACTTGGAAATAACTGAAACCATATATACTAAATACAGGACTGTCATGGATATGTGGTACTGATTTTTTATACTTTCTAGGCACACATCACTCACCACTGTGTATTTTTACAGTCTTAAGGACATGTAGTCTATGTCCCCAATGACACTGAGTTCTTTAGTAGAGAGATACTTCCTTTGAATTTCTCAAGCACCTAGAACTAGTGCCTTGCAAACAGAAAGAATTTAATCATACTTGTTGATTCATAGAAGCTATATAGTGGACCAAGAAGACCACAAGGTCAGCAAGAGGTTTCTCCTGAAATAGGCTGAAGAGGAGAGATAGTTCATTTTCAAAATGAATCTCTGCTTGCTCTGTCCTTTACCCTTGTATTGTAGTTTAGTTCTCACTTCATACACTAGCACCCTCAAATCTGTTTAATCACAAAAGTTTCCCCCCCCCACTTATGTGATGTGTGTTAGGTGTTTTTTCTTTTATGTTTATGTCAATGGTGCTTACCAAAAAAAAATTAGACACCAATCTATCATTAGGGGCTTGTTAAATTAAGGTTTCTACTATAATCGATCACCATGCTGTGATAAAAAAAATGACGGCGTCCTATACTTACTAATTTGGAAGAATGTCTGAGACATATGTTTGGTTGAAAAACAGCAGGTTAGGAAGGAGTATGAAGAGTTTAATCCCATTTATGTAAAATCTTATAAACACACATATACACATGTCACATGTATCACCAAAATGTTAACAATAGTTATTTCTGGGCAGTGGTATTTCTTTATACTTTTTAGTAGTGTTTGAAATTTTTTCTAGTAAGCATAATTTTTTATAATGAGTGATGGAAAACTGTACTCATGTTGGGAAATATAAAATAAGGGTTGCCTTTCTTCTCATTTGGTAGGACTATTATCAGAGCCTATTGAATTTCATCTCCCTTGCTCTCTCTTTTTTTCTTAAGAAACATAGAAGAAATGCCCATTCCTTTTAAAATCTTCACTTATTTTACATTCCAAAAATACTGCTGTGAGATTCTTGTAGTCAATGAATTCTATGGACAGAATTTCACTTGTGGTAAGTAATCTATTTTGGAATATTATTTTTATGTAGTACTCCGAGGAAGCAATTTCCTGAGAGAAATGTATTTTTTAAATAAAGCTGTATTTTATAATAAATAGATTTAAAACCTTGTTTTGAAATGAAGGTCTAGCATTTTTTCTGATTTTTAAAATAAAAGAAAATAAGCACTAGTCAGGTTAGTCACCTGTCAAAGGTCAATAGCTTAAGGCCCCTCTGTTTTTAGAAAATGACAGACCCAGTGGACACTGAGGTAAACTCCAGTATATTTTGGATGGAATCCAAACAGGGTGAAGCAAGCCGCAGTGGCTTCTTGTTCCCCAAAGTGTACATAGTATATAGCTGAGGAAAGCCATTTTTGGCAAAAGTCAGTTCCTCAGTGCCATGAGAGGGCAGCGGGGGCATAACAAGGTCCTGCTGGCCATTGGCAATCCCAGGCCACTCTGTGAAGACTACTAAGAATAGGGTAGAATTGAATAGTTGTTTTAAACATCTTTAGGTAATAACATCAGTAACTTTAGGATGTTTAGTGTTAAGTGATCATAAGTGACCATGACTTTTATCAGTCGTATTGTAATGAATATATACCCAAACTGGAAACAAACCCATTTCCACCTTCGGTGAAGCCAAGGCACAAAACACACATAACAAAACACTGTTGCTTCATCTAATGATGAGTTCCAGGCTCTCTCAAATGTCCTGTATCTTTCATGAAGAAGGGTTCTCAGCAGGGTGCTAAGAACTTAGTGGGCACTTGGTAAATACTTGCTGATTAAATTACTTGGGACATGATTTAATCAGCAAGTGTTTACCAAATGCCCCAAATTGACATTGTTGATCTTTTCCCTGGCAGGCAGCTCAAACGGTTCTGTGTCAACTAATCCAATGTGTGCCTTCAATCAAGGAATTCAATTAATTGAGAGAATCTGCCCAGGTGCAACATCCAGATTCACAACAGACTTTCTGATTCTGTATGCATTTATCCCAATTCTTGTCATCCTAGGAATAGCTGTTTTTAAAGTAAGGGATCATCTCATTAGCAGATAATAAAGAACATTGCTGTGAAAATTGAACTTAAGCTCCTAGATGTACGTGATGGCTTTGGATGTCTGAAATAGAATGCCATGTGTTTCTTTTTTGATAGCACATCCAAAGTCTTTTAAACCATTAAGACTTCATTAGTGGCCTTCGGATCCACTAATGAATCCACTAGCCATGAATGCTATTCCAACTTGCAGGGACATGTGGTATTTGGAAATTATGACTAAGACAGCCCAAAAATGTAGATAATAATAATTCATAAAGTTATGGAGACTAGTATGACTGTTTTCTTCGCTCTAGACAGAAAAATAGGTCAGTTAAAAAGATTAAGCTTACACTTGATAAATGATTCAGTATAAAGAAAACATGTGAATGATTACTAACTGTAAGTGACAGAAAAAGGAGTTACGGGTGTGATTGAAGCAAAGCGTCATGTGGAACTGGGTAAGAATGCTTTCATTTTTCTTTAAAAGCCCCTAATCACGTGCATATGTCCACATGAAGGGTCTGACTGACTTGATCACATCAAGAGGATGGTGGACAGATGTGGGATGATGACCACAGGTACAGAGTACTCAATGATCTTCTTTAGGGTTAAAATGAAAAACTGCAGGAATGGGCTGAACTGAGAACACAGCACAACAGACAAACCTCTAGTAATGTTTTTAAAGATTAGTTAGCTATTTTTCACTTTTCTCTTAGTTTAGTTATAAAATTAAAAGGCAAATGTTATTAGATAAAGTGTATGTACTGAGAAATGACATTTCTAAGGCTGGAGAGCAGCTGTTATTTAAAGTCCCTATAGAAAAGGTGCCGAACTGACACAACATTTACACTAAGAAGAACAGGGTTACACACTAGGAATTGTAATTGTAATGGAAATGTTCTTGAATTGTAAAGGAGAAAGAATGCTGATAAGCACATATTACGTATTTTTAGGGATAAATGTTGTATATAGGTTGTATATAAACGAGTTATATACTAAATGACTATGTTTCTGATTGATCTCCAAGTAATTCATGTACAAGTCTGAAATGAAACTGTTTCCACATTACCATGGTAACTCTGAGTGAGAATATCCTAGAGAATACATTAACTTGTTCAGTTACTATGACCTAACTTATAAAGAATGATAAATTATAGCATTTGAAATGTCTCACATTATAGTAAGAACGAGCATTTCATTAAGGAAACCACAGTAAAATTCTATTTCTTAGAACAGTATTTAAGGATCTGGAGACATTGGTAAATTACCAGAATAGTATTGTCAATTTTTATAAAGGGTCTTTGACACTGATGATTATGGTATAATAGTTACATAATGCCTTACAGATTATATATGTCACATCAGTTTTAGATAATTCTGGAGATGATAATCTATTAAAGTAGTTCAAAGAAAGTCCCACAGGAACCTCTTTTGAAATCAGCGATTTCAACTTACTAAAGATATGGGTGTACAACGTTAAGTGGAAACATTTTCAACTATTCATATGCAGATGAATTTCATTCTAGCTCAGAAACATTTGGAAAATTGACATAGCACATGACTTCAAGCTATTAAATGTTAGTGATACCATCTTGGAAAAACACAATGATTTTCAACATGTGACAGTTTGTGTCTTAAGTCAAAAATGGACAGTGATGTTTAAGGAAATCAAATTATATAATAAAAATTCCTGCTACTATTATGAAATAAGCTGCTTCTTCCCACTGAGTCAGGGATGTTTCTGAGATCATAATGCTCACTATTAATTTAAAGGGAGTTCTTTCTCCATAGCAGTCAGGAATGGTGCCTATTTTCTCCTTAAGCTGAGGTTCCCTGGAAACATGCTGCAAATCCTGTTCTCAAGAGTGTTAGAACTACATATATTGCAACTAGTTTAGGATGTCTTATATCATTGCAATAATCAGGTAGCTTGCTATTCACTCAAATACCACTCATCAGTCTTGGTGTTCTCGGGGTTAATAGATGTGCTTGTGTGAAGCTGGGTGCATGGTATATTGGAGTCAATATATTTTCTAGTGGAAATGGAAGAACACAGAGTAAATAACTTTCCTGGTTAATAACAGCAATTATACTTGCTCCAAATTGAATTTGTCTAGCACGTACACAAATCTACAGGACTGAGAAGGCTTCTTAAAAGCTATTCCATCTTGAAGATAATCTTGGTTATTACCAACTTATGAAGTTTTGGCCTGTTTGTTGACAAAATATCTCTTTAAAAGTGCCTGTTCTTCAAAATTTATACTCAAGATAAGTATGTCAGAATCACTGGAGATGCTGATTAAAAATCTGGATTACTGAGCCCCATTCTGGACTGATTCCAGATTTCTGAGTATGAGGACTCAGGACTGTGTATTTTAAATAAGCACATTTTTGGATGCTTTTTGTGCCTCACCATTAGACTAAAATTATGTGCTTGTGAAAGTGAACCCAATTCTAGTTTCCTACCAGCTACAGCTGAGAACTCTTTAGAGAAGAAATGTGTCTAATATGAACACTTAATCTTATATTCATAAATGTTACTAAGTGCTCTTGCTTTCGTATTCCTAAAAACATACAAGCAGAAACTTATAAATGCTGAACCAAGTATGTATTACTTAATCATGTTAGAGGTAGGTAGTAGAAGATTCTTTTTATTTTAAAAATATTACATGTAGTTACACAATTTTTTTTCCTTTTAAGGACTTAAAAATATCCAGGGGGTGGCACTAATATAAGAAATTCACTTTTCCTTTAACAAATTTAACATTTAACTTTATTTATTTATTACTGCAATAGCTAGTTTACTAATGAGCTATTATTAATATTATTTATTAATATCATAACATCTATCAATTAGCTATTGTGGAATAAGCTGTTTCTTCCCAATGAGTCAATGATGTTTCTGAGATCATAATGCTCACTATTAATCTAAAGAGAGTTCTTTCAATATTAATAAAATAATCTTACTTCTATTTGGGAAAGAAGAAATAAATAACTATAGTTGAATTAGGTTCAACAATCCAGCTCAATTTGTTTCCAAGACTTGGAAGAACTTCTTTTGTACTGTTCCAGTTCCTAAAACAGAAATATGTATTATAATACCTTAAAAAAATTCAACTTTAAAAATTGAACTAGGCATCTTAAAGTTCCTTTAGCAGTTTTAGATATAACGATGCATCCTTTCCTTTATAGCATTATCATTCTCATAATTTCTTGACAATTGTTTTGCAAATGATTAGACTTAGGATATATCTTCTAGAATGTAGAATCTTTTGGAGTTTCTGGGTAGCCTAAGTAACATTTAGAGATGAATTTAATAAGGTTTCAGACAAAATTATATACTATATATTACATACAAATTATCTTCCAACTAATAAAGCATTTGTCATACTTTAAGTATTTAAAAGTGATCTTATTTTTAATTGTTGTTCAACTCTTGTCAAAACCTGGTTGAAGTTAGCAAAGTATCAATATTTAAAATGTACATATTCTTTGACCTAGCAATTCTACCTTTAGAAATTTATCATATAGAATAATAGAGAATAACAGAAGAATATAAATAGAAGGATATTAACTACACTATGTATGCTATGGACATACAATTGGAACATGTGGATTCATAGACAGGCAACAAAAATATTGGTGGTCATAGGTGAAAAAAGCAAATAGATGGAGAAAGAGCAGGACACTTCTATTTTCCATTTTATATACTTCTATAGCTTTTAATTTTTTTTCAGAATGGGTATATGATTTTTTTACAATTCAAAAAATAAATTTTAGTGGGAGTGGAAATCCTGCATTAGACAACTGACATGCAAAAGGGACCTAAGGGGATCGCCTCCTAGTCTTTTACATGTTGTTCAATGTCTAAACTATACTAAGTTTATTATTATTTCAGATAAGTAAAAAGTGGTTGCTTTGCAAGATTAGGCAATCACTGCTCTCTGGCTAACATAGTTGAAGTTCATAAGTGCTATGAAAATTCCACTCTCGTTTTCAGAAAAATTACCGACTGTCTCATTCATACCTATTACTCTACATTATTCAAATTTAAATGTTAAAAGTTTCAAAACTGTATAAAGACTTTGGAATAATTTTTATAGTGGTCTATACAGCTTGGTTTATTTTTTCTAATGAAGTTAATTCAGTTCACCAGTTATCTACCAGTTAATGGTTTCAAAGATTGTTAACTCATAAAAAAAGCCCCCGTAATTATTTTTACCAGTGATAAAGATAAGGATATTGCTTTAGGATTCTTTGCTAGTAGTATCTTTCTTTGCAGACAGCAAATTTAGAAGAATGGGGCTGGTCACACAGACCATATCAGAGGGAGGATAAAGAATAGCTAACTAGTGTGACACGGAACTCATCATGTCCACTAGACCTTCGGTACTGTTATCATGTGAATTCAAAGTAATATGATGATGCTTTAAAGGAATGGCAGGTAAGAGGGTTTTCTTTACACTGCAATTCTTTATGGCTGCTTTAGAGAGCCATTTTAAAAGCGAAAGCAAAACCATGAAAGGTTTTCACCCTGCCTCTTAAAAACCTCTAAAATTTTCAAATATAAACAGACCACAGTCTTACGATGCTTAAAACAACATCTTCCATAAAACATAATAACATTTTTCCCTAAACATGAAAATCAGTATATCAGAATAGAAGGATATTAACTACATGTTTAAATTATAGGCCTAGGGATTTATAAGCAAGTTGATTTTTAAATACAGAGATTCAAAACAGATATGTGTGGTTGGTCAAGAAAGAAGACCTTAAAAATAATTGTTTACCCAAACTTTTTCCTTTTTTAAAAATTTCTTTCACAATAAAAATATAGAAAAGAGATAGAAGTATTCAACAAGTGCTTTGTATACTCACATTCCCTTAAAATCAGGACTGTTTTAAAGCTAGAGAGCTTTTTTTTAAAAAATAGTAAATATTAATGAAATATTTTCTGGTGTCCATGAGAGGTCTGCCAAAAAAGAGACTTTGAGTAATTAGAGAAAAGAGAGCAAATTAAGAAAGACACTTAGTCTACAGGAAAGGTACAAGGGGTCTTAAGACAGTTCCTCAGACCTGTGAGGACTGATTTCACAGGCTGGGAGGATCTCCATGTATCTGTGGGGACTG